TCATCTCTATAAAAAAATTCTTAAGCAATGTATCTGCAGCTGAAGAAGATAATCTTTCCATTGCTGCTTAGGAAGATCTATTATCAAACTCCATTGAGACATTAATGTGAAATCTGCATGCAGACCATAAAACAATTACAAATGCACACAGCTTGGAATTTCCCTAAAAACATTATATTACTTGTAGATGCTGTGCAGGTCATTATTGTCTGATTGGGGTTTGTATCTCATTCTGTTATGCATTACTAATACATTAGTGGTTTTCCTGTGCAGAAAATTAGTACGCTTCCATTACTGTAGAAAAATTGGTATGTGTCTTTCTCTAATTTCCACCCACCTTTCCCGTTCCTTTAATTCAACATCACAAGGCTAACAACAATCTGTTAAGCCACCTCGAAATATTGTTGGTATATTTTGAAGCACCCTTGTGCTATAGTGTTAACTTCTTTTTATGGCACTCTTAGGATCTAGTTTTGGGTGCTGTTTAGCTGTATATTTACCAGTAGTTCAGGAAGTGCCACTGTCAAACCTGCTTCTGTACAACACCATTCTCCTTGAATTCAATGGAAGTAAGATGGAATAACAGAATCCACATTTTCAGGGCCAGGACAGGACTTTTGCTGAAAAACTATATGAGATAAGCCACGCTTTTACTATACACAAGGACTACTGAGTGAAAAAATGCTACTCGCCACACCCAGTAATAGTTAGATGGTAGCTGGATTACCTCTGGAAACCAATAGGATAACAGCCTTCTTAGTATGAAAGGGAGTCATTGCAGGTGACACTGTTACCTGCAACAAATTATTTTCAAAGTATGTATATGCAGGAGATTTGCACACTAGACAGTAGTCAACGGTTACATCTAACAACACTAAAGGAACATTATTTAAACATAATGCACTGTATTCAGTGGCAGCTCTGCTCATTGGAAAGTGTTCTAAAAGCTGGTGGTCTATGTACTGCATTCATCCTTTCCACATTCCATATCTTTCTGGAAAGTTCTTAATTTCTCACACACAAAACATCTTTTCAAGGGACCCAGGGGCTTAAGTAGATATGAGTGATCAACAAAACATAGGCATCCTACCTCACACAAACAAAGGGCAGCTCTACATGGATACTTTACCCAGAGTGGCAAACCTCAGATCAGCTGCTGGATGGCAACGCTTATTGTTCCCCTCCTGTGATCACAGCAGTGGCCACCTGGTGCGAAATGAGTGGTGTCCATCACTCATCACCTGGAGTGTTATTGGCCAGGGCACCAGAGTGACACTGGAAAGGGAGATGGGGAGGAGGAATTGTCCCCACTTCCCCTTCCTCAATTATCCTTGTGCTCTGGCTGACATCACTCCAGGCAATGAGCAACAGCCACTAGCCATTTCACACCTAGTGGCCACCGCTATGGTGAGAACAGGAAGGCTGCGATAAGTGCCACCCAGTGTACATGGGTCATCCAAATCAGGGGAATACAGGATGGCCATGTAAATTGTTGTGGCTGGTTTAGTCCTGGGACTGGTCCACTGTTTATATGTGCCTAAAGTTACAGTTTACTCCAGATTCTTAGGGAAATGTTGAGCAACCTGTCACTTTTATTAACATTGTTCAAAGCTGTGTTAAGCTGAATCAGCTCCATGCATTTTGGAAGTGCCATGAAGCTGAACCCTCCACTGCTTCTAAATAAAGTGTTTGTGGAGATGTGACTAAAGTCAATTCTGCATACAGCACACTGTGAATTATTTTACATTCATCCCTATACAGTACAGTTATGTGGGGAAATGAAATGCCATAACTGATCTCTGAAAATCCAACTTCAGTTTCTCTGGCACCGGATATTTCACCAACTTTACTGACAAAAATATAAAATAGAATTCTTAAATTATATGGAAATGGCTGGATTATTTTTTTACTGATTAGTCTATTAAAATATTTTTCAATGTAACATGCTTCTAATATCTGAAAACCAAAAGCTTCACTATAAAAGCATCACCAGCCATTAAACTCTTCATTTAAGCTTGCTTAGAACACCAACTTCCCATATATTACAGTTTTCTATCTGCTTGCTTATTTGAGATGTTTTCCCTTTTTTAAAAAAGGAAGATTTGAGAATGATTAAGTCATGTTTATAAGAAAAGCTAAGCCCTTCAGGCCAAATATTATGACTTGTGTATACATCTTGAACTGTGTTATCTGCAAGAAGCTCATGTGGAGCAGATGGCACTTCTTACTATGCATTCTATAATGCTGTATATGCTTCCTCTTAAAAACTTCTATTTGCCAATGCATTGCTGATGATCTTACAAAAAATAACGATGTGTTGCCAGATTCACTCATAAAACCCTATGGTTTTATACTGTCTGGCCTGTACTGAACATAAGGATTAAGGTGTTCTGATAGCTCCAGAATGGAGCTGAATCAAAATTTCATTTGGCTTGAAAAGCCAGAAATACGCAGCCATTTCCGATCAGAAAACTAAATTTGCATAAACCAACCATCTTCACTCTCAGTCTAATCTAGGACAGATGTGTTTGATTGTTGCAATTAGTGACAACAACTAAAGCATTAGCTATGTGTAGCAATCTAAGCTTCTAGAATGCATTTGTTTTCAAAAACTTTAGTATTATATGGCTAACATTCTTAGAAACTTAAAGAATTCAATTCCTACTGATAAAAATAGAACTGATGGGCTCATTTCTGCTAATTTTACATTCCAGGACTTTTCTATGTTATGTAATTTTAGCTTCCATTAGTTTTTTGGTTTAATACAAGAACTTGGAAAAATAATCTCCTAGACTTTAGTACCCACTGGCCATGCAAGATGGGTGAATTCTGTGAGTTTTAGACCCAGAGTAGTAACGTTTCCAATCTCTGCTTAAGAATATCAGATACACTGTTGGGTTATTATGAACAATCATTGCCTATTTGGACTTGCAACATCACTTCCTCGATCTCAGTCAAAGTAACACCACAAAGGGTTCATCTACACTGTAGAATTAATGTAGTTTGATGTCATTTTAACTGCTATACTTCAATGTCATGGAGCACTGGGATTTGAATTTTAGTGAGGCACTAAACTTTCTTTAACAGAAAAGGCTAAAGGCTGTGTAAAACTACAACTACCACGATTCCATAGCATTGAATCATGGTAGTTAAAGAGGTGTCAAAACTGTGTTAATTCTACAGTGTAGACGAGTCATTAGGGACTGAACCTAGGGCCTTCTGCATGAAAAATATGGGCTAATCCACTGAGACATCTACATTGAAATCTGTAACTCAGTGTTCAGTCAAAACATAAGAAAAGATTGGATTGTATTTCCAAGAAAATGCAAACAATAAACATTAAGAGCCAAACACTGAGAACTGAGTACTGAGAGTGTTTTTGGTTAAAATAACCCAGAAGAAGAAGCCGAAATGTTTTCACACTTTAAGTAAACAATGATCACGAATTTAAAGGAAAACTATAGTCAGTATCACACCTCTGATAAGAGTGTATATTTATGACATTTCAAATGCCTATTCAGCAATAGTATTTTTAATACATTATTCATTCTTAAGATTCTAGCATTTCTGATTTTTAGCACACAGAGGCCCAAATTCTGGATACTAGCTGGCTAGGCCTACACGAACAATGGGGTTATCAAGCAACTAGATGCCCAACACACATGTATTTAGCTATAGATTGAAAGCAATTCACTCACTCCAGACATTCATTTTTTATTTTAAAAAACCCCAATTCATTCATTATGGTTTATATATTTAAGCCTGGGGCTTCCTATGCTACTGGACTGAAGAGCTTGATGATACTTTGAAAGAAGTGGAAAAATAAGTGCAAGCTTCTAACTCAGCCCGGATCCAAAAAGACCTTTAATCTAGGAGAATCTGCTTTTGAAAAACGTGCATTTTCCTGGGGGCCTGTCCACAACCACCCAAGAAAGCAAACACTTTCTGGGGTAGGTGTCCAGATGTTCTCTCAGGACTAACCTGAGAGAACGTCTGGAGGACATACCCCTCTCCCCCCCAAGTCCCCAGACCCCTTAGGAAAGTAATAAAAACTTAAGTGGTCTCCATTACAAGCCTTGGCCAGCACTCCCGGCGCATAGAAATGACGCGCCAGAAGAGCATAGGGGGGGGGGGAGTGATTTTCTAAGAGGGTTGGGTGCTTACGGAGAGGGGGTGGTATTCCTATAGTTTAATGGGCTTATTTAGCCTGATTTTTTTTTGTCATGTCAGGAGCGACTTGAGAAACTGCAAGTCACTTCTGGTGTGAGAGAATTGGCCGTCTGCAAGGACGTTGCCCAGGGAACGCCTGGATGTTTTTGATGTTTTATCATCCTTGTGGGAGGCTCCTCTCATGTCCCTGCATGAGGAGCTGGAGCTGATAGAGGGAGCTCATCTGCGCTCTCCCCGGGTTCAAACCTGCGACCTGTCAGTCTTCAGTCCTGCCAGCACAGGGGTTTAACCCACTGCGCCACCGGGGGCTCCTATTTAGGGTACGCTGGTAAACTGTGGGAATACTGTCTGGACTGCAGGATTCTGCACTCTAGACCTGGAAATAGATTTATCCAGCGCTTTCCAAGAAGGCATAAAATAAATCCACTATCAAATTAATTTGCTACAAACCAGGATTTTCCTGGCTTGGTAGTAGATAATTAATTTGGGACTATCCAGAAAATTGTCTGGACAGCCGCTCCTTTATTGCAGTAGATACCGCAATAAGGGTCCTGTCTGGGCAGGCCCTCAGTTCTACGATTCTTACATTTGTTTGTTACAGCATACTCTCAAGTGAAATCTTATTTATGGTGATCCTAACATGAATCTGTGATGGGCCTTTCTTTGCAGAATTTGCTCAGGAGGAATTTGCTCTTGTCTTTCTCTTTGATTTAGAGTATGTGTTTTCCCCAAGGTCACCCAGTAGGTTTCAATTACCAAGTAGGGATTCAAACCCTAGTCTCCTAGTCTAACTATGTTGAGAATCATAAAAGAAAAAAATGTATACAGACCTGAACATTCATGCTGTAAACCTTTGCCATAGTATCCTTTTTCACAGATGCACTCAAACTGCCCAGTGTGGGTACCACATTTGCAGCTTGCCATGTTATCACAGCAGTTTTCACTTCCATCACAAAGATAAGAGCAATGTGATATATCTTCTTGAATGTAACTACCAGAAGGCAGATCTGTAACAGGAGGGTTTTTTTTGGGGGGGGGGGGGAAGGTTGGAGAAGACATTCCAAATATTTTTTTAAACTGCTACAAACAAATTAAAGATAATAACCATGACTACCATGAAAACTTTTTTGTTTAAAAATTAAGAACAATTAAACTAAAAAAATCTTGATGTTTTATTTTAAAATTCAATTTATTTTTTGTTTTAAGTTTAATGATCTTAATAAAACATTTCCCACAGATTGCAAACCAGGAATTTGGCAAAGAGTGAGAGAGGTCTGTCAGATGCATAATTGCAATGATCCATTGCCCCCCTTTTGCCTGCACAGTTAAGAGATGATTTCCAAAACTAAAGTTCAGATATGGAAACTCTTATTATTTGGATCATATATTGTTTATTTTGGGCCTACTTTAATGTGACCAGATCAAAAGCAGAGAACTTTTTACTAAGGGTAACAACCACACAGCTGGTTTTTCCTTTCCTTATATACCTTATATACCTTTTCTTATTTGCTTATATTCTTATTATTCAGCATGCAGGTGTTTAGTGTACTGAGCAGCATAGAAATTTAACATAATACAACTAGTCCTCCCACCCAAATATGGGTGGGAAAACTAGGGGCACATCCACACAGTGCCTAAAACTTGTGAGTGCCCATGCTTTTCCCTGGGGCGTCCAAACAACCCCTCTGGTAAAAACGAATTAATTCAGGACGAAGCAGGAAACCCTGCTTTGTCTTGAATTAATCTGACACCTGGAACGACCTTGGTCATTCCAGCTGTGGGCGCTGTGTGGATTGGGCCTGGAGATTACACCATGCAACTTCTGGTCCCAATCCACACAGCTATCTCGGGTTTTTGGGGCCCCTGGAGTTTGAAAAACCGAAGACAGCCCCCACCCCTTCCCAAAGCCCCTTTAAAAAGCCTTGAAAAGAAAAAAAATAACTTACATGGCTGCCATTTGCCCTTCTCCAGAGCTCTCCTAGCATGTAGAAATGATGTGCCAGGAGATTGGGGGGGGGGTCGCTACTCGCCCTCCCCTTCTCCTAACATGTCATTTCTATGCACCAGGAGAGCTCTGGAGAAGGGGGATTGCAGTCAGGTAAGTTATTATCTTTTTTAAAGGCCTTTCTGGGGCATATTCTTTTGTGTCCAGGTGTCCTGTCAGAAGGCCCAGCAGGGCACCAGGACACCCCTCCCCCAGGAAATTGTGGGTTTTGGGGGAGGTGTGCAGGTTGTAATGCAGGATCTTGGTCAATTGTCTCAGCTCACTTATAGGTTTACCATTTGATTTTTGCATTTTTGAATGTAGTAATACAGTATCTACATTCATTACAATGTGGTGATTTCAGTTAATTAATGAATCTGGACCTCATGATAGATGTGTAATTCAAATATGTAACAAAACATCAGTGGGTTTTTAAAGGTAATATCAATGAAGGCCATAACAGAATTCCACAAAACAAAATGTAATACCTTCATGAAGGGCTCTGCGAGCTAAAGCTTCAAATTCAGCAAAACTGTGTAGCAAGTAACAGTGTTCCTCTTTTGGGTGAGAAGCCATGTCATTCAGCTCTCGGATGTTGCCTTGCCATATCCCAAACGTAAAGATCTCCACTCCAAATTCACGCAAGGAAGCTGCAACAGGCCTGGGATCCCCTCCATTGGAATATCCATCAGTAATAAGAAATATGACTTTGGTAGCATTAGCACGGGAATGAAGTAGTATTTGCTATAAGAAAGAAAAAAACAATGTCTCAAGCCAAGAGCTAGCAAGTTGATGACCTAGTCATGGTCTTTTCAGCCAGGGTGTGCTGCCTTTGCACATACTGATCAACATAATTTAGTTTGTACAGGACCACCCAGCAATAACACCATATAATCAACAACTTTGCAGCAGACTGTGGTTAAAAAGCCAAATACTGACTCACACTCCACACACTCAAGTTTAGCTACAGTACAGACTCTTTTATTTTGTTTACTCATCTTATAGCAGTTTCTTGTGGTGACAATCAAAGTCACTCACTCTGAAAAAAAACAGACACACAATATTCTGATGTTCACCAGAAATACAATTGTCTTTATCAGCATTTTGATAAAAGCTTGGTGTCTCCTTGGATTCAATAATATAAGTAATAAGACTGGTGTAGCTGAGTAATATCAATTGGTTAATGTTCAGATATATTTGGTTAGATACACTAATCTATATAAATAAAAATGTAATGTTCGTTTGTGGGATTAACATAATTCAAAAACTACTGGACGAATTGACACCAAATTTGGACACAATACACCTATCAGGCCAACGAGTGACCATCACTCATAAAAACAGTGAAAAACACAACAGAAAGGACTGAAAAAGCCAAAAAACAAAAAAATACATTACAATGCATGCACAAAACCATATATATACAAATATACAAACACAAAAAACACATACACAGACTGGGTCACTGCAACGCCTGGCAGGGAATGGCTAGTCTATATAAATAAAAATGTAATGTTCGTTTAACAGAACTCAAAAACCAGTTGGCGAATTGACACCAAATTTGGACAGCATACACCTAACAACCCAATGTAAGTCTTTCACTCAATTTTTTTTGATTTTGTCTTTTGGGAGTTGTAGTTCTTGGGATTTATAGTTCACCTACATTCAAAGAGCATTCTGAATTCCACCCATGACCAACAGAAATTACTGGGAGGGTTTGGTGGGCATTGACCTTAAGTTTTGGAGTTGTAGTTCACCTACATCCAGAGAGCACTGTGGACTCAAACAATGATGGATCTGGACCAAACTTGGCATGAATATTCAATATGCCCAAAATGAACAAAGATGGAGTTTGGAGAAAATAGACATTGACACTTATGTATATGACAGAAATAGTATCATAGATTTGAAAGAGACCCCTAAAGAAGGGCAATGATATGCTGCGTGTTCCAGAGTAGGCAAACCAGACAATCTCTACATCAACACTAGCAAAGAAACAACAAGAAATACTGTTTACCCACAAGCATAAAGACATTACATATATTAGAAAGCAACCCTTTCTCATTACTTTATTTTCCAGATCACCAGACTAGGCCACAGCAATGAGTGGCAGGGGACGGCTAGTAACAACTAAATTAGATTTGGAGCTTAATCCACTGGGCTAGATCATGGGGTACCTCCTTGACATATGTACGCATGTACAAAAATATCCCCAAACTATACAGTGTTAGGGAGCCCCCGGTGGCGCAGTGGGTTAAAGCACTGAGCTGCTGAGCTTGTTGATCAAAAGGTCGCAGGTTCGATTCCGGGGAGCGGCGTGAGCTTCCGCTGTCAGCCCTAGCTTCTGCCAACCTAGCAGTTCGAAAACATGCAAATGTGAGTAGATCAATAGGTACCGCTCCGGCGGGAAGGTAACGGCGCTCCATGCAGTCATGCCGGCCACATGACCTTGGAGGTGTCTACGGACAACGCTGGCTCTTCGGCTTAGAAATGGAGATGAGCACCACACCCCAGAGTCAGACATGACTGGACTTAATGTCAGGGGACTACCTTTACCTTTACCTTATACAGTGTTAAAGGCAGGAAGTATATTAAGGCAAATAGGGGCACGAACACCATTCAATGAGGATTACAAAAGATAAATGCTATGTGTATATGTGCCTTAAAGGCAACCATTGGCTTTTGGTTACCCTATACATTTCATGAGGTTTTCTTGTTGTTGTTGTTCATTTGTTCAGTTGTCTCCGACTCTTCGTGACCTCATGGACCAGCCCACGCCAGAGCTCCCTGTCGGCCGTCACCACCCCCAGCTCCTTCAAGGTCAGTCCAGTCACTTCAAGGATGCCATCCATCCATCTTGCCCTTGGTCGGCCCCTCTTTCTTTTTCCTTCCACTTTCCCCAGCATAATTGTCTTCTCTAGGCTTTGCTGTCTCCTCATGATGTGGCCAAAGTACTTCAACTTTGTCTCTAGTATCCTTCCCTCCAGTGAGCAGCCGGGCTTTATTTCCTTGAGGATGGACTGGTTGGATCTTCTCGCAGTCCAAGGCACTCTCAGAACTTTCCTCCAACACCACAGCTCAAAAGCATCTATCTTCCTTCGCTCAGCCTTCCCTAAGGTCCAGCTCTCACATCCGTAGGTGAGGTTTTCTTAGACAAGGAATATTCAGAGATGGTTTTGCCATTTCCTTCTCTGAAATATTTGTTGTTGGTTTACTATTCAAGTACTGACCAGAATTGACCCTGCTAGCTTCCAAGATCACATAGGATTTAGGGTACATGGATGGCAATAAATTCCAATTAAACCTGGATCTACCCCATCATGCACAAACTGGAGGTATGGGGATTCGTTTTGTAGGGGGGGAAAATAGCGAATAAGTAAAGGGAACTAAATTTCTCCCTGGCTGCCCTATCTCCCTATGACTTCTCAACCCACCACTCCTACATGTTTTTCTTACATCCAACTTAATGACTACTTTAGTTTCCAGCAGTGGAGAAAAGTATTAGAAAGCCAGACGGTAGGTGGATGAAGCCATGGCCAAGAGAAACACTTTTGGAGTCTGTTCTGCTCCAAAAATCTGACAGCCATTGCTTCCTAATTTAGAAGAAACCCAGGTTTGAGAACAGCTCTTACACAGTGCCACTTTACCCTAGAATGTGACCATAATTTCACTTCAAGTGTTCCACTTGCTAACATAATCTTAATAATTTATGCCTATCAATGAATATGGGAATTGTGTATGTATGTCTCTATGTTACATATTGGAATTTTCAGTTTGATCGTTCATATGTATTGTTACATTCTCAGTTGAAAATTTTAATGAAACTCCAGCTGTCTAGGAGTCAGACAGTCCCGGCATGTCTCCACTGTCTCCAAACAACGGACCCATGAGGTGGAAGAGTGGGAGTTCTAAAGGAAAACAACAGACTGTGGTTTCATTGCAGGCACTGCAGAACCACAGCTTGAACTATTGTGTCCAAAACATATAAGGCGGGACTAGAACCTAGGGTATCATGACCTGTACTAATGCTTATTAAACAAGATTATTATTATAATGTGAAAAAGCCTCAAAAGAATATTATCATACATTCAGCCATTTAATTTTGTAATACCAAAGAGTACTAAATCTATAAATAAACATAGATACTAATGTTTTTCCCCTCAATACAAAAGTCTATGGATCTACAGTCTTTGACATACATACTAATGAAATGATGCTGCTTTTACTGCACATAAACAGAAAAGATACAAAAAACAACAATTCAAAAGGTTCATGTTTTGGAAAGTGACTTACTTTTTGAATGCAAAAAGATCTTATAACACCTTTGAGACTAACTGAGAAAATAGTCAAACACCTGAGAATTCAACTAAATCTACTCATCGGATGCATGGAGTAAATTACCTAGGAACAGACATTTATACTTATGAAATAACAGGTTATGTGTGAATAGAAATAGAAATGACGGGATAAGCTCAGTTGTAACAATGATCCTTGGGGGAATCCAGTTGGGATAAAATATATTGCCAAAGGTCAAAGTGAGTAGATAACCATATGAATAGTGTGTGTGGGGGTGTGTGGGGTGTTACAGAATCATAGAAGCATAGAAATTGAATAGACCACAAGAGTCATCTAGTTCAATCTGCTGCCATGCAGTTATTGGAATGCAGTAACTGTAATACAGTAAAATGCTGGCAAGGAGTGAGAAAGGAGATATGATAAAACGGCAAAGAGAGTTCTCATGAGACTGGGATGTTAACTTATATTATGTTATCTGTAGTGTTCCAGGAAACCACTGCCTTTGTTCAATCCAACATTAATGAATTGGAATTTGTGGATATATTCCAATTCTGCTGTTTCTCTTTCCAGTCTTCGTTTGTCAATTTTTAAGGCCCATGATGGAATGCCTAAGAAGTGTTCTACATTTTGTTTTGTAATCCCATTCCTAATGTCTGATTTTCCCCATTTATCCCTGGTGCAGACTGGCTTATAGAGTGCTGAAGAGCACTGTTGACAGTAGATGGATTTTTTTGATGGTTAGCCTACTTTCACTAAAGTGGGTGCGATAGGATTTGGACCTGAAGTAGGAGTGCAATGATGCAGTGCAACTTCCAGATAAATTCTCAATGAATATTAACTAAATTCTCACATCATTTGGGATGAAGGAGGGAATGTAATCAACGAAGCACACCATATTTCATTCCATGTTGTTCTATGCCATCATGGTGACACTAGGGTAAACTTATGACAGGGTTTTCTTGGCAAGATTGGTTCACAGGAGTTTTGCCATTGCCTTTTAAGCTTTGAGACTATATTTGCCCAACGTCACTCAGTGGATTTTCATGGATGAGCAGGGACTCATATCTCAATTTCCCAATGTCCCTACTCTAACACTCAAAGCATGATACAGTCAAACACTGGATCCCATTTATTCCTTTAACGTAATATGCATACTCTGTCTGCCCAGAAAGAGTTCAGATCACTTTGGAATGGCTCCTATAGACTGATCAGAGGATCAATCTGATCTTGTCAACATTGCTCAAACCATGGCTAGCACCAGGGCTCAAAAATAGGAAGCTGGCTGCACAATGAAATGCTGACTCCAGGTTAATTTCTTCAGGAATTTTTGAACATAGTAATCCTACTCTAATCTTGTGACATCACAGTACAAAATTTTGTGCTGCAAATGTGTGTTACAACATTATTAGAAAAAAGTCTGGTATGGAATGTGTTTGTTCTTTATCTTT